GCCTGGGGCCCAGGAGCACATGCTGCCCCAGAGCCCACCGTCCAGGGAGCCCAGGGAGCCCAGGGAGCTGGGGCCAGAGGGGCAGGGCTGCTTGGGACCTTGAAACTGACACCAGCGTGTCACCCAGCTTTGGTGGCTGTCAGGGCTGTGGTCCCACCCCAGGGCCACTGTTCCGGGGGGACTGTGTGTGGCCGGCTGCTGTCTCCCAGGGCACGGACCTCAGGATTCAGCAGAGCTGCACGTACAGAGGCCCTTCCGTATGGAGGGTGCTGGGGCCAGACACCCGGATGTGCCACGGAGGCTGGGAAGGGGGATGTGGCGGCCAGGAAGGGGCTGGGCCTGGCCTGGGTCTGCCTAGCATGAGGACTGTGCTCTGGGCCCTGGGCTTTCCTCTGCAGGGCCACAGGACCTTTGTACCTGCTGTACCCAGTGCCAAGCTCCCCTCCCTGACAGCAGGTGGCTGGTCCCTCTTCCTGCTGTGGCCTGGTGTCCGTGGCCCTGGGCCACCCTCTTGCCACCACGCCCTTAGCGCCACAGAATCACCTGCGTTGGGACTGCACTGACCCTCTGCTTCCTCTGCGGACTCTGAGCCTCACAGTGCAGGGCCAGCTCTGGTCCCTGCCACCTGCAGTAGGTGACGTGAAACGAGAGGGTCCCCAGGAGATGTCCACCCCACAGCGCCGTGCGGAGGCTCACCTGCTCGGGGAGCACCCTCCCTCTCCCTGCTAAGGTGTTTTTCCCATACTGGGGACACCTGTCAGCGGAGTGACGTGTGACCAGGGCTCTGCGGGAGGCCCCTCCTCACCTCCTCAGACCACACACACCTGCTGGGTCACCCTGAGTTCAGACTCAGAGTCCCGTGGCTTGGCGCGGTGTCAGGGCCAGCGGCACTCTGCCCCAGAGGTCCGAGCGTCTCCGGGGGTGTCTGTGGGAGCGCGTCCCGTCCGGTGGCTTTGGAGTTGGATCCTCTTTGCGGCTTCGGGGCTGCAGACCTTGGAGTCCCGCATGCGGGACCCTTCAGGAGGTGAAGCCCCTGCTTCCTGTGCGCCTCCCTCCTGGGGCCGCAGAGGAGCTGCCGCAGCTGGTGCCCCCGCCTCAGGGCCTGGCTGGCTCAGAGCTGCACAGGCCACGGAGAGCCAAGAGCCTCTGCCACAGCGTCCGGGTGCCAGGAGCCAGCCAGGGAGGAGCACGGGGCCCGGGAACCCCCTGCCCCTGCTGCTCCTGCACCAGCCTGGGGTCGGGGGCGTCAGGAGTTCCTGCCCTGGGTCTTCCCCCGCCCTCTACCAGACCATGGCTCCACCCACCAAACAGACCCCGGAGGCGGCTTGCAGGCCCTGTGTGATCTGGCCTCGGCTCTTTGCCCACCATCACCCTGCCCCTGTGAAGTCCCTAGTCCTGTGCTGTTAGTGACAATTGGTGATGTGCCAGATGGGGTCGGGGAGAGGGAGAGATCAGGGAGTGCTTCCTGGAGGAGGCAGCATGGAAACAGCCATGGAGAGGCCAGCACAGGGGGCCCGAGGGAGGCCCGGGAGGCAGGTAGGCCCCAGGAGGCTGGGTCCTTGCAGACAGAATGGCCACGAGGCTGACAGCCCATTCACGGTGGCCAGCGTGGCCAGGACAGTGGATGGGCCCCCTGCAGGGGTGACAACTGGGGGAGGGGGCTCCAGAGGCCCTGGGGTGACAGGAGGGTGGCGGGTGGTGGGGCCTGGAGTGGCGGTGGAAGAGCCCAGGGGACACACGTCTGGAGCCTGTGGAGGGCGGGTGACCCGGTGCAGTGGCCGTGGGTGTCAGTGGTAGTGTCCTGGAGGGCAGGGCGGCCAGCGGGTGGGGAGAGCTCACTGCAAGACCAGGAGCCCCCTCACCTGCCCAGGAGCCCCCTCACCTGCCCAGGTGCCATCCTTCAAGTCCACTCTAAGGGACCTGAGCAAGGTGCTGGTGGCCTGCTGCTGGGCCCCTGTGGGCAGTGAGGTCAGGCCTGTGTTGGCTTCGGGGCCCGAGGTCTATGCCAGCTGCAGCGGGAGATGGCTGGTCCCTCTGCCAGGCGGAAGACCTCCTGCAGGCTCCCACTGGAGGAGCCGGCCACTGGGGCTTGGGAGGGACGGGGTGACGCAGGGACTGTGCACCGGCTTGAGAAGCCCTAAACGCACCTCTGGGGCGTCTTTGTGGGGAGCGTGCATTCGTTTGTCTGTGTTGGTCCTGGGCACCCCCGGTCTCCCCCACGGGCTGCAGCCCAGCCCTCCGTGAGGCCGGACTCACTGAGTGGCCGAGGCTGGCCTCAAACTTGTGGTCCTCCCGTCTCCACCTCAGAGTGCTGGGGACACGGGCGCCCGGCGTCACGGCCCGTTTCGGGGAAGGCCCGGGAGCCCACTGAGCCGCCCCTCTGTGGAGGGGCAGATCTGCCCGAGCCTCGGCCCCCGCCTGGCCGTCTGGTGCTGGCCCCCAGCACCCCAGGAAGTGACCTCCTGCGAGAAGCAGAATCAGACCTTAACCCTCGTCCTTGGTGCAGCAGGAAGCCAGAGGACGTGCCCGTGCCAGGCTCTGCCCGCTCTGCCCAGCGCCCACCCAGCCTGTGCACGGTGGCAACTTCTCCACAGGGCACTGAGGGACCAGGTGTCCACCCTCCAGCTGCCCCTGTCTGTGGGTGGTAAGCTCCAGGCCTGTTCAGTGTCCTGAACCAGGAGTGACCTAGCCTTCGTCCCCAGACCTGGCCAGCAGTGCCTCCTCAGGGCTCAGCCTCACAGGCCTGTGTCCACTGTGCCCTTGGGCCCAGCACCAAAGCTGTCTCTGAGGCCTGGCCTGCACCCTGGGCTGGCCCAGAGCCGTGAGCAGGGAGGGAGGGAGTGCTCTGGAGCAGCCAGCGTCCCAGCGCCCTGGGGGCCACCGCCCCCCTCCCTGGGGCTGACTTTGAAGCCCCTCGAAGCCCCCTGGGGCTCTGTGCTTCTGTCCCGCCTGCCCCACCCCCAGAACCTCGGGTCCAGCCTGCTTCCCCAGAGCGGGGGACACAGGGCAGGGAGGGCTGCAGCCCAGACCCAGGGCCAGGGCTGCATCTCCTACAGCCACTGTGACGGCCCCGGCGGGGCCCGGGCGCCAGGCAGGCTCCTGGGGCGGGTGATCTTGCTGATTCGAGGCGGGAATCGCTAGTCCATCTCACAGACAAGGAACCACCAGAGAAGTCAGGGGACCCACCCAAGGCACACAGCCCGGCCCCTCAACTCCTGACCCTCCACTCTGTGGTCCCTGGCTCATGAGATGGCGTCCAGCCTCCAGGAGAGTCCAACCCTGGCCTGCCTTGGCTTGGGCCGTCCCGACTCCTGACTGCGGACTTCCATGCTGAGCTGCCCCTGCAGAGGATGGGGCCCTACCCACTGACCTGCACTGTGTCAAGATGGAGCCAGGCCCCTCCATGCCCAGTCGGGGTGCTGGACGGCCCAGGCCACTCAGGCCAAGCACCCCGGGCCCTCCCCTTACAGGAAGCCCTCCGGCCTCCGGTGGGTCCAGTCATTGACCCTCTGGGCTCCAGTGCCTCCACCCTGGGGGCTAAAGGGGTCAGTGGAACTCCCTGGAGGGACCGCAGGGTGCCCACACAGACGCCTCCTCTGCTCCCTCCCCGCCCCCAGGCTGCTCTTTCCTGTTTGGTTTGACTCTGGGTCTTGCAGAGTTGGAGGCCGACCTTGAACCTGCCGCCTTCCCGCCTTAGCTCCCCGGGCCCTGGGCCGCGCCTCACCAGGAACCTCCCAGGTGCTAGCACACACCCTCTACCTAAGGAACCCCCTGGCGGGTGTTGGGCCTGCTAGCGGATGTCCAGCGACCCAGGAAAGGAGGGTGCCCGTTATCCCCTTCACAGATGAGGAATAGAGTGTGAGGGGCTCGGGAGACTCTGGGGTCTTGCCATGGGGAGCAGCAACCCTGGGACTCACCCCTCGGCAGCCAGACACAGGGTCTGTGTCCTGGCGTGTCCCTTAGGAGCTAGAGGGCTAATGCACACAGCTCTGCACTGCACAGCTCCCAGGGAAGCAGGCCACATGATCTTTGTTAATGGCTCCAGAATTGTGCAGTGCAGAACCTGTGCAGCAGGGCAAAGTGGTCCTGTAGGGCGTCTTGCTCGTTCACTTTCCCACTCGGGGCCTTAGTTTCCCCGTCTGTTTCTGGCAGTTTTGATTGCCCTGAACCAGCACAAAATCTTCAGTTCAGGTGCTGCCACTGTCCCTCAGTGCTCCTGGAAGCCTGCCAGGAAGGAATAGTCGAGGTGGAGCCCTGAGACGGGGCTTCTGTCCCTGGCGGCTCTTTTCCCAGTCTCCTGTGGTCCTGGCTGTGCCCCTTCCTCTCCAGAGGCCCAGACAGACACCTGGCTTGGGCTTCACTCTGTCCAGTTCCTCCCGACCAAACCTCCAGGCCTTCCCTAGATTCCAGTTCAGTTTATTTTTGAAAATAAAAGCAGCAGCAGCTGAACCAGCGAGGCCCGGGCTCTAGGCGGGCGTGGGGGTGGGGTTGTCAAAACCCCAAATAAACAGAGCCTCTTCCCAGCGCTGCCTCCCTCCCACTGACTCATCCTGACTCATCTGTGTGGGGCTGGCTTAAAGGGCCAGCCTGGCGGCCGGGGTCTCGGGCTGGCCAGCGCCGCAGTGCTCCCAGCCTCCCAGCCTCCGCCCTGGGCCATGACGTGGGCCGGCTGCGCTCCCGGGGCACGGCTGGGCCTCCCTGGTGTGGTGGGTGGTCTCCCTGTCCTGGAGGAGCCCCAGGCAGAGCACCCCGTCCTCCTTCCCTCTTTCTGCGCATTTTGGGGGCTGCCTTGCCCTGTGCTGGTCACTGCTGGGGTGTGAGGTGACCCAGACCCGTCTCTGTCCCCAGGGGCTCATGTGGGGGGCCAGGTGGACGAGGGCTTCTCTGGAGAGTCCACGCCGGGCGCAGAAGGGGCGAGCGGGAAACGGGCTCTGTGTCCGCCCTGCCCCTCCCTGGCCCACTGCGGACGGCTGGCCTGGGGGGCAACGTGCTGGGTGAAGCCCCGTCGGCCTGCGTCCGTGGCCTGGTGCAGAGGTGCTGGTCCCCAGGCACGGAGGAGCAGGGCCACTGTCCACGCCGTCCAGGCCTCTGCTGAGTCGGAGCAGAGCCAGCGGGCCCTGCCCCGCTCTCCCACCCCGCTCCTGTGGGGATCCTGCAGGGTCAGCCAGGGGCCGGGGCGGCCTGCAGAGGCTTGTGACCCGGGTCAGCTCCTCCGCCGTCCAGGATAAAGTCAGCGGGGAGGCCGCTGGTCCTGAGCGTCTGATCACCCCTGCGAGGTGGACAGACGGCCCCACCCTGTGCTGTCTCACGGGCCGTCCCAGCTACCAGAGCCCACGTCCAGGGCTGTCTTCAGGCACAGGCACAGATGGTGCGTGTGCTGTGCCCACCCTCCCGGGCCTCGCCCTTGAGCTTCCCGTCACACTGCGCTGTCTTTGGCGGGCCCTCCCCTGGCGGGTCCTCCCCTGGCGGGTCTGCCCTGGTCCTCAGGTGCTTGGGGAAGTGGAGCCAGGTGGGCGGAGGGAGCCCCGGGGCCGGGGCTGTGGCCAGGGGCCTGGGGGGAGCCTCGACCAGGAGAAGGCTGGGGGTCCCTGGGGAGGCAGGAGAAGTGGGGGTGGTGCTGCAGGGCGAGGTGACAGGACGCCCTGGGGAGCGGTGACATCGGCCTCAGTGTCGGGGTGACGAGGGCCTGTCCCCGAGACAGCCTGCTACGCACAGGCCCAGACGCCGGGGGCCACAGGGGGCCCTCCCTGCCAGATGCTTGGGCACCCCTCGCAGTGCCCAAGAGCCCGGTCAGGGCCTCCTTGCTGTGGGCATCTTGCGGGAGAGCAGATTCCTCGCTGTCCCTGCCCTGCCCAGAGCCGGGGGCATAAGGAGGAGCTGTGGGCCTGGCCACCCACTGTGTGGAGGGCCAGGGGTCCCCTGGGTACTGTGCCTGGGCAGCCCCAACCCAGGCAGGGGTGAAGGGGTCTGGGAACCAGGGACCATGCAGAGCAGCTCCCAGGAGGACAGTCCAGGGCCCAGGGCCACCGCGCCGACCAGCTTGATCTGTGAGAGCCCGGGGGGTTGGCGTCTCCCCTGGCCACCCCTGACAGGTGGCCTTCTGTTCGGGCTGGCCAGGTGGGCCAGGTGTCCTCTGTCTGTGGTCCCCACCTCCAGAGACCTGGGTCTCAGCTACACACCGTGCTTTCTGGGCTGGGCCTTAGCTGAGGTGGCTGGATGGCCATGGGGTGGTGGCCCCTGGCAGGGAGGGTCACAGTCTGCGAGTCACCCTCCCACCTGTCCCTGCAGGCCCAGGGGCACCTTCAGGCCAGGTGTGTAAGGAAGCCCTGAAGCCACAGAGCTGGGAGTGGCCTGCCCAGCCAAGCCAGGACCAGGCCAGAGCAGGGGCCCTGCCTAGAAGCACAGGGGCCAGGACCTGGGGCTGTCAGCAAGGCCAGTGCAGGAGACCAGAGCCGTGGCCTGTGCCCTGCCCCACCTGCCTGCAGCGTGGGCCTGGCGGGCAGCAGCCCATGGTGAAGGGCAGCAGAGACCCGAGCTGGTGAAGGGTCAGGGAAGTTCACCAGCTGCCCAGCCAGCAGGACAGGGCTGTGGCCAAGGGAGATGAAGGTGTGGCCCTGTTCACTCAGGAATCGGTCACCGTCTTCCAGCAAGGCCAAACTGGGGCTGGGGGGCAGCTTCCCCACCCACTGTACCTCACCAGCTCCCAGGCTAGAGGACCTGCAGAGCCCACGAGGAGGTGCAATGGTCATTTCCTGCAAGCACACAGCTGTCATATCAGAGAGGAAGGGCACAGGGTACTGAGCCCAGGGCTGGCCCCAGTATCAATGCTGTGTCACCCCGGGCAAGTGTCTTAGCCTCTCTGGGCCTCCTGGCTAGCTCAGCAATGTCCAGGGAGGCGATCTGAGGGTGCTCAGCTTGCAGAAGCCTTCTTTACCTGTCCCAAGTGTCTGGACATCATACAGTGAGGTACCCCAGGCTCTGCACATGCAGAGGCTGGCCCCGACAGGGGGTCTCAGGTGGGCCTCCTCCTCCCCGGGACACTCAGGGCTGCTGGGAGCCGCAGGGCTCCTGACCACGGGCTGCCTCTGTCAGTGCAGGTCTCCACCCGCTGACCAGCCCGCGGTACAAGTTCAACTTCATCGCCGACGTGGTGGAGAAGATCGCGCCAGCCGTGGTCCACATCGAGCTCTTCCTGAGGTGCGTGGGGCCCTGCTGCACCCGGGGGGCTTCCTGATGTCCCCTGGGTCCCTTCTGCCTGCTGGGGCCCAAACTCGACTGGATTCAGTGGCCAGGGTGAAGCAGCAGGGCATCAGGGTGGTGGGCTGCCTGGGGCCCCGGAGGCCACACCAAAGCTACGAGCAGGGTCCCCAATGGGGTTGGCAGAGTGGCTTTGCCTAGGACAGCCTGGCCCCAACCAAGGTGGCCGGCCAGTGTGGCAGGGGCAGGAGTGAGTGGGAGGGAAGGGTGGGGTGCAGGAGGGAGGGTCAGGGAGCACAGGTGCCCCCTGGGGCCCTGCCAGAGCCTCCCGCCCCAGCCTCCCCGCCCCAGCATTACAGGGCCTTCAGAGCTGGTCCCCAGCCCTGCCCTCAGAGCACACTGGCCACTGCGTCCAGTGCAGCCCTGGGGAAGAGGAGGCGGTCCCACACGACGTCTCTCGAGCTCAGAGCGCTCGCTGCTTAACTCTGGGCCCTGGGTGAGGCCCTGGCTGAGGCCTGGGTGAGGCCAGGAGTCTGGCGGAGCCCGTCGTCCTCGTCCTCATAGGGATGGGAGGAGAGGGGCCTCTGGAGCCGTCTGTTTGGCCTGGAGTGAGTGCAGGTGCCGGGCTCCACACCCGCTGTCCCTGGCTGTCCTGGGGCAGAGCCAGGTCTTCTCAGGCTCCCCGCGGCGCCCAGGCTTGGCCCAAGTTTCTCAGCGCAGCCCTGGGGGTGTCCACCTCCTACAGGAGGGAGATGGGCACTCACGGGACTCAGTGCACATGTGACCGTGGCCCACGCGACCAGCGGCCTGCAGAGTGCCCTGCGTTGGTGGACAGTCCCAGGCCCACGGGGCCCCAAGGCATCTCCCCATGAGCCCCAGGAGGGGCCTCTGCTGTCCCCATTCCAGGAGGCCGAAGCCCAGGCCTGAGATTGCCTCGAAGCTGGAGGCCCCGTTGCGGCTGACCCGGGCTCCTGACCCCAGGGTGGAACCGGTCTCTGTGCAGAGGCTGACCCCCGGCTGCCCTTCCCTGGGGGCCCTGAGACAAGTCATTGAGGAAATTACAACCAGGTGCACTAAGTGGCACTTCGCTGTCCCTCTGTGTCTGGACAGCCACACCAGCTCTCTGCAGAGCCGGGGCCACCAGCCCCACGCCACTGATCACTGACTGCAGGTGGCCTGGGCGGGTGGCAGTGCCAGTCCCTCCTTGGCCTTGGAGGCAGTGATCTGAGTGGATGGTGACCCCTGGCCCAGGTGTGGGCACGGGGAAGAGACCACAGGACCCCCTCAGGCCCTGTCTGCAAACCCCACGTGCTGGGCACGGAGGCTGTGCAGGGCTTCTGGAGGTGACGCAGCTGGGCAGGACAGGGCTGTCACAGCCGGGAGTGGACAGTGCCAGGCTCAGAGCGCAGGGTGGTTGAGCTGCTGGACACAAACTCGCACTCTGCCCGTCGCTGTGGGCCTGACCCGGGCAGGGCTGGGCTTCCCTGGGCAAGAGCTGCGTTGTTTTCCTGGCTTCCGATAGAAGGGTCAAGACCACGTGGCCTGGCCACAGAAGGGCTGGTCACCGCTCTGGAGGCCAGAAGCCCAACATCAGGCTGTGTCCGTCTCATCCCTCTTGGGCCTCGGGAGAGCCTGCTCCAGGCCTCTCTCCTTGCTGGTGGGCAGCAGCCCTTGGCATCCTGGGCTTTGCTGTGTTGTCCAGTCCACCCACTGGCCCGTGCCCCTGTGTCCCTGCATCTGATGGTTCCTGTGTTTGGGGCCGCCCTGCTCTAGCGTGACCTCATCTTAACTTCATGACAGCAGCAAAGACCCTGTTTGCATGAGGTGCTGGACTAACGCTTGTGCCCATGCCCACCCCAGCCACGAGTGTGCGGGCCTGGCCCACCTTGGAGCCGCCCGGTGGCCTTGCTGCTGTCTGAGGGGCAGTTTCTGCACCTTGCAGAAGCCCTTGTGCCCCTGAGATGTGCCAGGCCTTCCTCCTGGTGTTTCCTCTCCTGACTGGTCCAGACCCCAAGGGCCTGGTCCCCCTGCCCCCGTCCACTTAGCAGCCCCAGGGACTGTGCACTGCCCTGCACCAGCCCTGTGCTGGGACCCGGGACGCCCCACCTGCCCCCAGCTGCCTCTGCTGCCCCTCCCCCACTTCTGGGTGGGTGTGGCCCCGACGCAGACAGC